TCGCCACCGGGGGCCTCAGGCCACCCGGAAGTTCAAGAAATGGACGTAGAATCGGAGGACTCTTGCACAAAGCTTCCGTACGAGAAAGATCTTCAATTTCTGGAGTTAATGGATGACGATACTTTTCCACGTGGGCTGGCGTCTACGAATATGTTCCGAAGACTGTGCCTTCCGCCTACCCCAGATGAAGGACAGGGGCGGCCGCAGTACAGGGACCCTTACGATGGGGACCGAAAGTAACGGTGGGGCATGCTGCTGAATTTAAAGAAAAACGATTGTATGTGACCGCAGATGAACGCCATCGCATACTTCAGGCTACGCCTGGGCCTCTAAAGCAGATGCTCCAGGACGCCCATATCACGGGCCCTGTACCACCTGAAGTCGAAGCCATCCGTAAGCAAACGGGAATTACGCTTCGATACATGGCAGAATTTGTGGAAGATCCAATCTTTGCAATATTGGCAGGTTTCAATCAAGACGACGGATCTTTCGCGTACGCAAAGGATTCTATGAGAGCCGAGTTTCATTCCGATGACTGTCCTGATGGGTTTTCTCCGGGCGCCTATGCGTGCTTGCGGCCACTTATAGTTGGAGAAGATGACGGTGAAAACCCGGCTGCCTTAGGCAGTTCGGACACCTGGAGTGGCTTGAGTTTCCGAGCGGATGACTTGGCCAAAATAATAGGCCAATGTGCCGTATACATCGCGAGGCACTGCTCGGACTATGCTAGGTCGTCAGGAGGCCGGCAGGGACAATCGATGTTTTGGGGATTTCCCCAAAAGACAGCCCCAAGACTGTTGGAACACTAATCCACGCTCTGTGGGATTAACACAATAAAAGGTCTCTACAAGAGATCAACGGAAGAGAAATGCCCATACCGATATTCTATGGGGCATGACAGGGACACTCAACGTTCACCGCTTCGATTGAAAGAATGTATGTCCCGTGCGACCCTGGCCAAGTCAGGAGTCACGGACCTCTTCCACATATTACGAGCCTACAGACATTTTTGGAGTCTACGAGTGGAAATGTTCGCTTTCCGACGGGCAACTCTGGGCTTCGTTATGCCGCAGATTACGATTTATTGCGTTTGCTTCCGGCACACAATAGCCCAACTATGCCTGGCCCCTCGGATTTTCCTCCGTGGCTAAGCCAAAGGAGATATGGACAAGCGCCCACCATAAAAACTGTAGCATCTATGGGCAACCAGGCTCGAAATGGGGAGCCGCCAAAGGTGGGTACCTTGAACGTGGAAGACATACGCCACCTCTGGCCATGTCTCCCCAATATCAAGCATCATGAACAATGGGATATTATCCTTGTCTTCACTGGCAGAGTACTCACCCGCTTCTCATACAGAGTACGCTCAGACGGGACATTGGTGTCCCGGGAGGTGCCGAAATTTACGGACATCGACAAAGCCGCCCCCCTCGTGAGGCAGGCGAATCAGATGCGCTGGACGGTACTCTTTGACCGCGAATTGTCTTCGTACGAGGTCACTTTCGACAACGCGTCGATTATTGCCTGGGTTAATACAGACGAGAGACTGATTATTACTTGGGACCACGAAGCAAGATTGGAAACTTCGATTCAAGATCGAATTAAATCTACCCCGTGAGATGACGATGGGAGATTTCTTTGTTTCCGGCACCACTGGGTGAGGACAGGTTTTGCCAATTGTCCCGTCTGTAATTGCCCAATCAGGTACAAATATAGGGTTTCACACGATTACATGACCCAGACATGGAGGTACAAAACTATCCCGCAATCACTTGAGGCACATGGTATTTAGATAATTGTGGAGGATGAAGGAGCCTTGTCATGGGATCGTCATGTGTACATGGATGCGCGGATAAAGAGACACGGGAGAGCTTCTGCTAACGTTGCGAAAAACGTCGCCAACAACAATCAACAGGAGCGAAAATGGGTCACCAGCTTTGTCACAATGGCGGCTGCTGGCACAATATTTGGCAACAGCCAGCAGGGGAATTTTCCAGCTTGGATCCCAGAAAACGCCGAGGCTCAGCCTCCGGCGCGACATGCTCCTTTCATTCAATACCTAAGGCCTTTGGTCAAGAGATTCATATCGTGGCTAGAACACTCACCACAAATGTACAGAGGCGAACCCCGCCCATTAACAAATGGTGGCCAAAATTGTGGGCGACTGGTCTTGACCAGTACACTCGCCCCAGATCCTGCCCAGCACTACAAGCATTTCGCTGGCCTGATGAACCAGATGACTTGATCGCTCCTAGGATTGGCTGGGCACAATGGTTCAACAACATGAGGAGAGCAAACCTCTTTGTTCCTACACTTGCCACAGTAGATGATGCCATACAGTTTGACATGTCATGGTTCGGCGTATTTCCTGAAGATACTGGAAACAACGCCAACAACGACAACGCTCCTGCGAGGTTACCGGTCGCCTGGGAGAACCATTTTAGAGCGCGACCGACTCGCAGTTCTCACTCCGTTTCAAGACGGGTTGGCATGTGTCGGGACCGTCGTCTTATTGTTCCCGCGCTGCGACATGCCACCGGCTCAGCCGCGAGGGCACGCGAACAGACACAAATGGATCTGGACCTCAAAGTGATAAGCGGGCCTAAGGCCGCGTCGATAACTGACGGGCTCCTCACACTTGACGAACCTGAGGGGCACGTATACTTTTCACCATGAGGACCATCTAATTAAAATAAGATTCTTTCGGAGACGAAGTTCGCGAGGTTGCCGCTCATTACATAATTGAACACACGGGAATAAACCCTACTACACCCGGCAGGGTTACCCTGACTGGAATGGCAGACTATGCGACCCCGGCGATCATCAAGAAAATAGTGGATGACAATTGGTTAGTACCAACACAACACATGGAAAGGGGCCTTCGACCCATAAGGATTTTCGCAATTAGTCGTGAGATAATCAGCTATTTCATATCGGAGGACCACTTTATTGGTTACCCAGGGCGAATCATTCGCCCCGAAATGATGAGCACGGATCAAATTGAATCAAAGAAACGAACCGACGCAGATGCCTTGGACTGCCGAATTCGTGCGGCTGTTGAGACAGACGACATTATAGAAACATGGGCCCACAAGATGGGCAGGAAAGTGCAGAATGACGTCCGTCGCCACGGTGCAATAATACAAGAGGCCATAACTTGGCTACATGATAAGTATCCTGACCCCGGTACCGATCTTCAGGACAAGGAAGATGGCCCTTTCCGCAGTGCATGCGGACTATATGGTGTCGCTGCAGCAACTGCTGCCAGAAGTATATTGCAACTCGTGAACGGTAGGGAGAACGGTCCTGAGCACGACGCGAAGCCGAGATCGTGGGGCCACGTGCGCCTGCTGGACCACAGGCAAGACCTTTGTCTCGCACGCCGTCTCTTCGACCTGGCATCTCAGATGATCAGGCGTCTGAGGAGGCTACTGGCCCCCCACGTTCTGTCGCCGGCTCGGCCGTGCCGACCAGAGAGGCTAACCTACAAGATCCCAACGCGAGGGATCGGTCGGATTTGCGACGCGCGCGCGATGCAGCTATGGATGATGCCTCTGTCGCGGCCGCCGATGATGCCGCCGGCCTTGTGCTGTCCGCGGCGGTGGACGCTGCCACAGGCGCTGCCTCGGATGCTGCCAACAGCGTCGTTGGACACGGCTCCGAATGCAACCCTGGCCAGTCCTACCCGTGGCACGCGAATGGAACCCTTGTTGGGTATCACCTCCACCGGAACAGGATCACGTGGCTTACTAACGATGAATGGTACAATATGCCTTACTGGACCTGGCTGTCAAAGTGGGAGCATGACCATCACTTCCCGCCGAGAGAGGCGGCATTGGTTGGGAATACTGACAGAGAGAGAGGGCGGTCTCGCACGCCTCGTGGTATGGACGTACAGACGGGAGGATCGGCGACTTCAAATCCGCCGCCTCCAGCGCCGCCCAGGCGAGAGAGTTCGTGGAATCCGTGGGGGGACCTCAACTGAGTGCGGCCCGCGTGACTTCGCCCGCGGCAGGCGCACACAAAACACTTTACCCACACGCTAAGCGCGTTGGGCGCGGAGAGAAACTATTTATAACAATGGTGGGAAACGTCGAGCCTCTTCGGCCTTTGGCCCCCTGGCAGCCACCGTTGAGCCGTAGAAGCTTTTTCGGGTTGGCTCCAGTGGTTGTGCAAATGTACAGGCCGGGGGTGCTGTGGCTGGATGGGCTCTACGCGGCCCGCCGCGGAGGGAGTAAATATACTCCTCTCCGCCTCATACGCAAGTAGAATTTAACTTAGCTTGCATGCAATGCACTGTCCGCGTGAACTGAAGCTGCGTTTCTGCCGCTGTATAACTGCTCAAACCAGCCGACCTCGGCTGGCAGGAGAGAAAGCGCGCTGGGGCGCGCTGGCGATTCGTCGTCGTCCGTCCTCGGCCTTCCTCCTCCCTTCCTATTCCTGATAGAGTGGTTTAGCTTAACGGATATCTGTCTTATCAATGTCTCATCCCGCCTCCGCTCTCTCTGAGCAGAGTGAACATGAGATCTTAATTCCTTTGTCATCTTACCCCGACTTTCAGAGGAAAAACTCGGGCCCGACCTGATCCTTGGGCCTGCGATGGGCCCTCCTGGTGGCGCTTCCGCCGCCGCCCCCTGGCACGCCTCCGCGCGCCGGGGAGGGGTGGGTCCAGCGCAGATCCAAGAAATCCGCGCGGACCGTCGAAAGCGTATGTGTATGCATTAGCTCCGTCCTCTAATAATATTCATCCTCTCCTCTTTCCCCTCCTCCTCGATCCATCTTACCCTCCTGCCCCATCTACCTCTTTTCCCCCCTTCCCGATCGTACCCGGACCCTCGCCGCCAACTCATCACCATTTTCGGCCTCCTTTTTATCTTCCTGACCCTCCTTCTGCTCCTCGCCCATCCCCACACCCCCGCCACCTCCCGTCCTACTGGTCATCCCTCTGCTCCGCTTCCCCGCCTCCTCCCTCGTCCTCTCGTGTCCCTCCCGCTCCCGAGGTGATCCTGGGGGTCTATGGCTCCGTTTCCGAGCCCCAGCTAGACGACCCGCGGATCAGGTACCCGCGGTTGCAGAGGCGAGTCTTCGAGGCCCACTGTCTGCAGAGGGGAAGGGCTGGGAACGCGGAGCGAAGTAAGAGGACGAGGAGTGGGAGGAGGACGAGGACGAGAACGTGGACGAGGACGAGGGCGAGGAGTGGAGGTCGGGCGGGCGGCAGCGGAGGGTGCGATAAGCGTGGGGGGATCGAGGACTGCAGGAGACCGTGGCCCTCAGAAGGGCCCCTGCGCGGCCCTGCAGCTGCCACCGCGGGCCCGCGGGGGGTGCACGAGAGGTGCACTGCTTCGTCGCCCCGCGTTTGCTGCCCCCCCCCCCTGCACGAGCACGCGAGGCTTAGGTCGGGCGTGCCCCTCCACAGGAGGAATATCCGAACACTGTGAAAGAATAGTCTGGGGACGTGTTGTCGGCATGTTTGAGTATGTTTGAGCATGTTTTGACTTTCTAGTTTCGATCAGCATCCGCCTGTAGGAGGACGCCCGACCTAACGCGAGGAATGAGGAGCGAATGGGATGGGGGAGCAGACGGAGGAGACGAGAATAACAAACAGATCCGAGGGCGATTCCACGGGGTTTGGAGGCAGTCGGCGAGGGGGGGGCGTGGGAGGCTTCCATGTCTTTGCTGGAGAGCTCCAGTAGGCTCTCGGAAGCTTGGAGGGCGACCGCAAGGTGGACCAGGTCGCAGAGGAGAAGGATAGGAGGAGGAGAGGAGGGGCACGAGGTGAGGAGGAAGGGGGGAAAAAGGGGCGAGCAGGATGCAGGAGCGGAGGAGGGGTTGGCACTCGAGGCCCAGATGGTGCTGCTGATGATAGCAGTGCTTTGCAGCACGTACACAATGGTAATGTTCCTGCTCATTAAGATCTACTCTGTGACGGCCCTCGGCCTGTACAAGGACGTAGCATACAAGGCGTTCACGCAGGCCACGGTCGGTATCAGGTCCGACGCCTTCTGGGCCCTGATATCGTCCATCATCACGTTCTTGTTGGCGTTCAGCTTGAACTTGTACAGCAAAGTGAAGGGGAACCGAGGCATCGCGTTATCTCAGAGGTGGGACTCTGACCCCCGCTCGCTGCTGCCGCCAAGCCAGGCCAGCACCTGGCCGCCCGGTTGGCCGACGCGATCTGGTGGCGCAGTCAAAACCAGTTTTCGGCGGCGCGCCGAGGTCCGGCGGCAGGTCTCCTCAGAAGGCGGCGGGGCTTCTCAGAAGCCCTCTGGCCTTCTGGGAAGCCCTCTGTGTGTGGGGCGTCGTGCGCTGGGGGGCGATGCAAGGGGAGGAGGGGGCAGCGAGGGCTGCAGAGAAGGGCCCCAGAGGGGCCCTTTGGGGCCTGAGTCGGGGCCTCTGGGGCCCGAGAAGCTCACCCTTTCTCCCCCCCCAGTCGTGGCCGTGCTTCTAGGATTCTCCGAATCCCCACGGGATTCTTAGAGAATCCTACCGCCCCTCTCCCCGATCCACGATTTCCGCTGTGCGTCCAGTCGTCGGGCGATCCCCCCCCCCTAGGATTCTCACCCCTCTCCCCGCCCCCCAACTGTGCGAGGCCCAGCCGTGGCCTCGGCGCAGGCCCGGGACCCCTCTGCGGAGGTTCGGCCCCCTCTGCCCCCCCCCCCGCAGGCGCGCCAGCCGGGGGCTCGGGCACGGCCGGCCTCGCCGCGTTGGGCTCCTTTGTGCGCCCGGCCTGCGCGCACCCGCTCCCTGCCCACCCCGGATGCCACTTTGGAGAATCCTAGTACGAATCATGGCAGTACGAACAATCGAATGATATTCATAATCTGGGTACTGATAAACAGCATATGAATGATAAGGGCAGTAATTCTGAGGATACCAATGTAAAGAAAGGGATGGGGGGTCACAAACCTTCCACACGAGCCATTCAGACCGAAGTCGAATCATATCCCGAAAACAAGTATGAGGAATGAAATGAAACAAAACGGAATAAGAATAACGATAATCAGAAAGGGGTGGGGTGTCACAAGCCTTCAAGACGAGCCATGTCAGACCCCCCCCCAAAACAAACAGACATGAAACGGCTGCCTTTTGCCCAGACCCCGCGACAGTTTCCAGGACAGATCAATCAGACCCCCTCCCAAAGCAGCCCACCCTCCTTTTATACTACTAAATTCTGAGTCTGTTGGAGCGTACTGTCTTGCATATGCTAAGGGGCGCCGGTTGAGTAGAAGGGGGCAAAGGCGCCAGGAGATTGCCGTTCTAGCTTCAGGAGGGGCTCTGGCGTTCGGATCGACGCCCTGGACTCCGTCGGGAGGCCCATTCGTGGCCGAGGTTCGCCGAGGTCAAAGAAACCCCGACGAAGACGATGACGGTGACGGTGACGATGCTTCTGATGATGATGATGATGATGATGATGATGATGATGATGACGATGATGTTGATGATGACGATGATGACGATGACGATGACAACGTCATCGACGTCGGCTCCTCTGTCGCTTCC